ATATAATATCAAGCACATGTTAGGTTCTCAATAAATATCTTTTTTTTCTTCTTCTTCTTCTTCTTTAAACAGAGTCTCCCTATGTTGCCCAGGTTGGGCTTTAAATTCCTGGGTTTAAGTGATCCTTCTGCCTCAGCCTCCCAAATAGCTAGAACTATTACAGTATACCACTATGCCAGGTTTAATCAATAAATATATTTTGAAAAACTACAGATACAATTTTACTGCTTAAAAAGAAGACAAAGAGAAGGGAAGAAATTCACAAAATTCTCTTAAACGACTCAGACTTTTCTTGAGGAAGATTGAAAAGATCCATTTTTATGCCATTGAGCTCAGAAACATAAATGACAGGATAAACAGTAGGCTTACTATTATATAAGAAGAGGTATACTGTTTAGTTCCTTCTCTAACTTAATTTCTTTGGTAACAGTACCTATGCTTCTGGCACATAGAAAACCCTGTGTAAATGTCTTTTTATTGTTATTATTGTAGTTTAAAAATGACAAATCCACTTGAGTGCCACCGAATCTAATTCTTTCCCTAATCCTTCTCAAGGTTAAATCATCACTGTGCCCAAAAGACAGAAAAGCAAAGGAGACACGCTTGGCCAAAGCTCTGCGGGCTCCTGTGTGGGTCTTCATCTCAGGGCGCAATGCAGAAAGGCAAAGCCCTCAGGAAGCCGACTAGAGATGCCCAGGAGAGGAAGAGCCTGGCTGGGCTGAAGGGATGCTGATAAAAGGGACTCTATCTTTCCCCACACACCTAGTAGCATTTGGGGAGGGTGTGGGAGCATGGGGCTAGACAGAAAGGGAGTGTGTCTTCTATAGAGAATTTAAATAACCATAAAACCGAGTAGCCTTCTGCTTTGCGTGATCCGATGCTGGCAACACCATGCTGAAATTCTCTTCAGCTCTAGGACCGACCTCTCCTGTCTCTTTACCACCACTGGCAAAAGGGCAGAAAAGGGAATGAGGACAGGAAGATGCTAAGAGAATAAAATTCCCTCTTCTGTCCTCCCCTAAACGCCTTTGTCTTTTTTTCCTATTTATTTATTTTTTTTAATATGAAAACCTATGTGAGTTTCCCATAGAATTTTGCACAGAGCTAGCTAGTGCTTATTAAAAATCCTATGCTAGGGCAGGAGGTGCAGCTCAGTAACAGCTCAAACTACTAGTAGTAGCCTGGCATGCACAAAGCCCTGGGTTCGACACCCAGATAAATCCTGTGGTAAACTATAGAGTCTATAGCTCATGAAAAATCTCCAGAAAGGACAAGGAAAGTAATGACCAAGGGCTGGCCTAGGGGCACAGTGTGTGCAAAAAGCGCTGAACTACAGGAGCTCACGACCACAGGAAAGAGAGTGATGGGCTGACTTCTGGCACAGTGTGCCTGTGAAGGACGGGGTGGCCATGGGAACCACTCCTTTTCCCAGAAGGAGGGTGGACCTCATGGACCACAGAGTTCTCCAACAGAGACACCTCCAGATCAAGGTGGGCCGAGCCCCGTAACTGAGCCCTTCTTGGCTCCCAGGATGCATAAGTGCACTTTCCAATGAACTCAGTCTTCAGTGACTATCACATACTTCCGGAAGCATGAAGTCACCGGCACCCCGCTGAAGTGATGAGGAAAGATGACTCACACAGGGAGTTATTCAACTCCCCTCCACGCCAGTTGGGGGACTCGAGTGATAATGACATGATGTCAGTGCAGGCTCACTGATTAGAACATTTGCACCACTCCAAGGACAGAGGATGTTTGCCGTCATGTCCCTCCGACACCTCATGCACAAATAGGCCAGGCTTTTGGAAGGTGACTGAACCCTGGGGGCCCTGGAACTAAACGTGCAGTTAGGAGGAGGGGCCTGCTTGGGAGAGGCAGTCAGTGGGGGCGTGGCCGACAGTGTGCCTCCTTTCCGCCTTCCGGTTTCCGGCTTCCTGATTCAGCTTCCGCCTTCCAAAGCTCTCTGCTTCCTGGCTGCCTCTCCTCCACAGAAGGCCCTTCTCCATGCGCCTGCCCTGAAGCCAGCAAACTGTGGACTGAGGCCTCTAAACAACACTCACCAAAATAAACCTCTCCTCCTTTAATTTATTGGTGTCAGGTATTGAGCCCCAGCGAGAAGGAAAGTGACTAAGGCACATGGGAGCTTTCTGAGCTTTCTGCTCAATTAGGCTGTGAGCCTCAAACTACTCTAAAGAGTAACATTGTTTAAACTCCATGGAAGAAAAAGGAGAGCTACTGCCCTGCCATAAAGAGAATTCATTTCATTTGCATGATGCTTTAAATTTTAAATAGTGGTTTTAGTCTCTCATGTGATCCTATGGAACTAGAAGGGCAAGTGTCCTTATTTCGATTTTTCAAGATGAGGAAATGGCAGCTCAGAGCCAGCATGACTTGTCTTGGTCCAGAGAACTAAGGAACATTCGCGTCAGGGCTGAAAAAGCCATCCTTCATCTCTAAGTCCGGTGATTAATGTGCTTTCCACCTGGAATGCCAACAACTCCCAAGCTTTTTGACAAAAAAGCAAATCTTATTTTTGTTCCAGATTAGATATTCAAAATAAATGTTTGGCCGATCTTTAATTAAGTAAGAAATGTAAATGAAGTTACGACAAAAAAGAAAGATTATCCAAACCATAAGGTGCTAATACCCATGGCCCAAAGACCTGGGACCAGCCTCTCTCAGCTCTGAGATGTTGGTGCCAGCTTCGCCGAGACGAAGACCTATGAAGCCCCAGCCAACGTCCTGTGAATTAAAGTCAGAGGACTAGAACTGCTGCCTTGAAAGATAAAAATTTCACACAAAGCAGTTCTCTGAATAGGTTAAGGCTTTGTTGCCTTACAGGTAGAAATGAGCAACAGCTTATTTTAATGACCGGTTTCTTAATATTCCCCCAAATCTGATTTTTCACCGGGCTTCACCAGTACACAATTCTGTCCGGTGAAGTTCCCATGTAGCCAGTCATCTCAAAGAGCACAAGGCAGGTGTGTAAACACACCAACAGTTGTGTCACCCATCAGGGACGAGCACCTACGTGGTGACCTCAATTCCCTGCTGGGGAGGCTTCAGTGGCTCATTTTCAGGTAAGGTTAAAAGCATGGGGAAAATACTTCCTTTGTAGTGTACTTTGTCACATAACCTATGGCATTTTATTTGGCCTACTTGTTAATGATCTGAAATCTCATTTGAACAGGGTAGAGTCTGTTCTGAACCAGCGATGGATCTTAATATATAAATACCCAGTGAGGTGACAACGGCTTAACTCTACAATAAGATGCAGACTTTGGTATCAGACCGTGGTGTTGTGATGTGTGGAGGGAAGTAGGATGGCGAAGCTTTAGGTGAGGTTTAAGGGGAAGAGGCAGAAAAAGAGTCCAAAAGCCAAGCACCTACTGGCCTTGATTGACTGCCTAATAATCAGGGTTCACTGGCAAATCTCTGGCCTCGGGAGCCCAATGACCCGGGGCTGCACTCTGGTGGCATTTAAGGTTGCAGGCACAGATCTCTCATGGTGGAGAGAAAGGGGAGGTGGGTGGTGTTTATCGTGCTCCAAAGCTGGGTTCTGTTTATCCCAACAGCAGTGCAGTATTCCCACCACAGACTCCTCTTCTCTGCTCTCTGCTCATCCTCGGGTTGTTCCTGCCAAAGACCAGGTGTCCCCCAGGATCACAGCAGTGCTCTGCAGAGCAGATCCTCAACTTGCTAAATTATTCATGCCCTTTCCTTCGAGCCTTTCCCACATCCCAGCCAAAACACCCAAAACCCGCCGTCTCTATCCTCACAAAAGATAATACCATTTAAACAAGATCATGAAGTGCAGCTAATTACACCAAAGCCCCAGTGTGCTGAAATGTTCTGTCAAGCAGAGCCACCTAGTGGTAGAATGGAACATGTATTTTTAAATTTTCATTTAATTTCTCTCCTATAATAATCCAGGTGGGGTTTTTGACACTTCTTTTAAAACATTCCTTTTACTCACTCTCAGGTACAGTCACCCCCTTTGAGACTGTCGTCTACATCTATTTTTTCTTTACCAAACATGTATCCAATGTAAACAACCTAATAGTTTTGTATTTTCTGAACCTCCTACTTACTTTTGTCTACACTACACACGTACACCTCCATGGAGAGTGTCATGTCAAATGATCGGTGCGAGAATGGGAGGAAAAAGTGCCCCTCTATGGCTCCCAATCACCTTCTCTCGATCCCCATACAATCTGTGGTGGAGATCAGGAGTACCTTGGGTTGTGGTTTGATTCCTTTTCTTCCTTCAGAGTAGGCAAACATTCACAGTCAGCTAGGATACAATAAAAGCAGACTCATTGTTAGTCACTGAAATTCAATTTTCTAGTCACAAAATAGACACTGCTGACCATCAAATTTCCCTGACCTGCAAGGTTACCTGCCCAGAAATGGCCCCACAAGGGAGTTCTGGGGGGTTAAAGATTAATGATGGCACGGCTCTTGAAATGGAAAAAGCACTAATAACACAGACAGGAGGCTTCCACTTGCCTCTGCCCTGTGGGAAAGGGCGCAATTCATCACTGCTTGCTTATTCAGTCCCTCTGGAGCCTCCGTGTCATTCTAAAAGCCAGAATCTGCATCTTTTAGGCACTGGGATAAAACAGCTGTGCCTGGTCCCCAGGTGCCTGCAGAATGGTCTTGGTCCCACCACACAACAGAGAAGATGCAGGAACAACCACCTTCTTGAAGTCTGCAGCTGAGTTCTCTTCCCTTTCACGATCCATTATTTTTAAGGAAAAAAAATTCTACTGGAGCTCACCGTTATGTGCCCGAATCACTGCCTGCTCTAGTTGTCAAACTGAAATGTCTTTTGCCAGTTCTCTGGTTTTAGTGAGTGTGAGAGGATAGTGATTTTGTATTATACAAAACCTCAGACACAAAAGGAAATATACCAAAGTATTAAGAGAAATTGCCTCTGACTGGTGGAATTTTTTTCTTCTATTTCTTTTTTGCATGTCCCAAATTCTACTAGAAACAATAAAATTCAACCACTGAATCAATGATCCACCTCTAACCTCAAATGTTTTACCAAGCCCTCTCCCATCAATATGAAAAACTGTGGGAAGCTGTATTAGTACAGTGGAAAAGCTCATTCTAATGACAAAATTTTGGGGCTTGAGAAAGCTCCATTGTAGACTGATTGATGAAATGATAAGGTCCCACGACTATTTTAGAAAGTAAATGTTAAAAATATAAATGATGTGCTAATGTAAACAGTGGATTTTATCAATTTTACATGAGCATTAAAAATAATTTATTGATTTTTAAAGAAAACCAATCACGGATTTAATGGAAATTAGAGAAAATATACAATTTGTCCCAGACATCCAGTGGAAATCTTTATGAGAATACTTATATTACCATCTATATTTGCCCAGTCCAATAGATCTACTACAAAAGAAGTTATCTAGATTCACCCTGTCCAGTGTAGTAGCCACTGGTTGGATACAGTGCACTCAAAATGTGGCTACTAAAACTAAATTTTATTTTTATTTAATTAATTTACATAGCCACACATAGCAAGCATCTATTGTACTAGCATAGACCTATGTAAACTATATTTAATAAAGTTGCATATACCTATCAAGATTAAAATTACAGATCTCTAAATTCTGCAGTACTATAAAATAGTGTCAGGTGAGGCCGGGCGTGGTGGGCATGGTGGCGCACGCCTGTGATCCCAGCACTCGGGAGGCTGAGGCAGGAGGATCGCTGTGAGTTCAAGACCAGCCTGGGCTACACAGTGAGTTCCAGGTCAGTCTCAACTACATAGTGAGGCCCTGTCTCAAAAA